ACAGCCTCTGTAAGACGTCTTACGCGTTCCTGCCGTTCAAAAGTATCGAACCCCTTCTTCAATCACGATTTTTTTTCACCCACCTCTCAACGTACCCGCCGTCATGATTCCCCCCTCTATGGCACTTTCCTTGCTTGCGCCGGAGTCCACACGACCCATCTGCGTCTCCCCTCCAAATCACTGGTGTGGAGGCTGCGTCCTCCCCGAGCCGCTGAAGCCCTAATGCCACGGCGGCCCCCAGCGACGACATGGTCCCGACGCACATATCGGTTCTCAATCAGCACCCCCTTCTCCATCTTTCTCGACCCACCGGCCGCCCCTGCCCCGGTCGTCGGCTTCGCGCAACCGTGCCTCCGCCGGACCGTCGTCGTCCGCCGCTAACCACTGGCTGCCCGCTCGGGCACTCGGCCTCGGCCCCACCCTGCCCTCACCCCTCGGCCGCCTCGGCAGAGACCGATAGCCTCGCTCCATCCAGCAAGCTGGAACCTGTCGATTCGTGTTGTATTTTTCCTTGCTTGCATGCTTCAGTTAGGGATCCTATTAGTGTGGTTTGGTCAAAGCTTAAGCAAAGATCGCTACTGTTTGCAATGATGCAAGCATTGCTCACTCTGAGCATCAGTATGTTGCTACTGGGATGCCCACAGAAGCTGCTCTGAAGGTACGATCTGTTCATGTGACAAATTTATCTTTCCTTTCATCTGGGGTGCTGTTATAGTTAAGTTGTTTCTTCTACTGCAAATTATCTTATTTAGGAATGCGTAGATCTTGCAATTCTACAATGGGTCAGCAAAATTGCTGGTGCTGCGATTTGTCAGTTCTATGGATCAATTTCCTTCCAAAAAAACTAAGCTGGGAAACTCTCGAGGCCCTAGCACAGATGCAGTGGGCGCGCACTGCCGCGAGTTCATGATCGCGATGAAAGGTAACCAGCCCACTGCCTGCCCTCAGATTGTTAGCCTGCGTGTTCCTGTTTTTTCCATCCAGTTTATCTATTATCAAATTTTTTTATGCATGGTGTACTACAGTCCAACAAGGCAGCAAGCAATACAGCTAGACCATAAGGATAATAATTCTGCTTGTAAGCATAATGGATCAACTGGTGGTGCACTGATAAATTTCTAGATTGTGTAGGAAGCATGCCTCAGAATTTAGGCACATCCTGGTGTGATTCCTTTTCGTATCCATTTATTGTCCTTAATTAGTCGTTGTTCTGTTTAGGAGAATTCTTTAGTATGAAATCCTCCTGGTAGAAGCCTGTCAGATTAATTTGATTTGATAGTGCTACTCCATGTATAATTTTACCATTTAGTAAATAGCCATGAAATACTAATGTACTTTTTTTTTATATGAATTGCCTGTCCGTTGGTCAATTGGTTCTCAGTCTCTTCAATGTGTTAAGCAAATTAATCTTATCTCAAACACAGAGCACATGTGCAACCAGTTTCTTGCTTCATTATTTTAGGCAGCAGACAAGAACCACGTCATGCCTAAAGTCCACTTGGATGGTAAAGAGAAAGAGCTCCGTCAGGTAAGAAACCAAGAGGGTAATGCTCTAATTCGATACCATGTCATTTTGCATGTTCATCAGTGATAACTGCCATTTTGTATGATCTACCTTCCTTTTTGAAATCTCTTGTTAATTTGTTTGCATGGACTGACGTGGTTCAAATAATATACTGGTCTTTTGCAAGGCTATCTTATATGTCATGCTAATTTGCAAAAAAAAATAAAATCTCATGTAAAATTGTATTCTGAATGAAGGCCTATAGTTTTTACTACCTTTTACTTGATGTTTAAAGTAATTCTGATTACAGCATGATTACTCATGTTACTGCATTTTCATTTTGAGAAATTTATCAAACCTAAACATATATAAGAAGCGAGTATTGGAGTAGTTAAGCAATACTCTGAAAAAAATTCGTCTTCGGAACTGGAGTGGCTACTTTCTTTTGGTCGTCTTCTTTTCTCTAGGAATCTTCATGCTACAGAAATATGGCGATATAAGTGGGTGCTAATTCACCCCATTTTGATAATGTTAGAAGAGGTGTTAGATAGCAAGCTAGGGCGATGCTCTTTTGTTTAATATAATTCTCACATGTTTCTATTCTATCATTTGCACATTGTATGCCCCTGTATATTGTTTACTGAATCACACTTAAAAGGGCGGTCCAAATCTTCCCAAAAGTAACATAAGTCTTCAGTTAATGTATTACTATTTCTAATATTTGATTTCACTTATTGGTTACCTTTTTTCTTTATATCTTTTTATTAGATGGTTGCTCTGTTATTGTTTGCAAGCTTGATTTTATATCTTTGCCATCTTGAAGCTCCATGGTCATGGCATATTTCAGATTAAAGGATGATGAAAACATGGTGCATAGTGGCATTTGGCCAGTGGTTCAATCATTCTCCAATTTGTCATTACAAAGGAGTTCCAGAGATTTCAGAATTGAAGCAAGCAAACATTAAAGAAGTGAACTCATCTTTTAGTTATTTGGAATGAACAAAAGCAAATTGTCATAAGGATTGTATTTGGGTTGTAAACACAGTCACCATGAGCATAACAAATATTTTTATATGCTATAGGAATTGAAGGGCGGGCCTGGTGTAAGCGGTAGAGTCTTACCGCCTGTGACCGGAAGGTCCCGGGTTCGAGTCGCGGTCTCCTCGCATTGCACAGACGAGGGTAAGGCTTACTACTGACACCCTTTCCTAGACCCCGCACAAAGCAGGAGCTCTATGCACTGGGTACGCCCTATAGGAATTGACTTCAAAACATATCTTTGCTATTTTGTTAATCCTTTATAAGAAACTTGTATCAGACATGTGCGTGTGTGTATATAATGCTTGGTCCGTAGTGTCATAGGAGCAACTTGCATCGCACGTTAGATACGAGTATGTCTTACGATAGACACGTGTGTGCCGCACGTGCATGGCCACTAGTATGATATAAAAAGTCATAAACATAACCATGTGCACATCCACTAGTTTGACAACTTCCAAGCCTCAACATTGAAAGAAACTAAGCACACTTCACTAAGATAAAATTAAAAATTATTATAAATGACAACACACTTAAGATAACCTTTGACAACTTTCACCCTCCATCTTAACCGTGGGCAAGGCTCCATAATGGTCAGCTTAGTTGTAGGTGCAACTTTATCTTTGATGTACATTCTTATAGCTTCCACTGCTATAGACGCTTCCTCGACCACAGATTTGGCATAGGACACGCTATAACCATCAGAGCAACATGGAGATCTACCATAACGAAGGGTGTTCAATGTAAGGTGCTCGAGTGAGACTGCGCTCTTGACAATGCAACATGTTAGCTCAACCAAGCTCTTTGTAGAGTTGAATCCTGTGATCTCCATAACCTTGAGCAGGTCATGGCGACGTTTAGGCAGCTGCGTGGGGCGGAGCTGGTTCGGCGGCTCCCAGTCACGCTACACGCCCAGGCTTCACCCCTGGTGCTACATATGTGCCCCATGGGCTGAAAGACTTCGATCGTATGCTCACGCCATATGGGCCCATTTATGCAAACAACCAGTAGCACATGGCCCATGTCCTTTTGTAGGCAATTTGTCTTGTTTCCAAGGAAGTGATTTAGTTTTTCATGGGTAAAAAGATGTATACGGTCATCGAACGGTAATGCTTGAACTAGGGCGTCCGTCTGTACCGGATGGCCTGCTTGCAGGCAAGAGGCCTAAAAGGGTCTCCTATCTGCTTCTATCCACTCACCTTCAACAACCATGGTTTTCAAAAAAAAAAAAAAAACTCACGCCATGCCACGAGCTTACGACCGCACTCCACCGCGCATCCCGCCCCCCATCTCCACCGTGCCTCCTGCCCGCCTTCTCTCTATTGCGCCTCCCTCTCCACGGCGCGCTCCCGCTCGCCTTCCTCTCCATCGTGTCTCACGCCTCTCTTCGCCACCGGAGCGACCTGCTACAACCTTCTCCACCGGACCTGCCGCGGCCTTCTCCATCGAAGCGGCGAGCTCCGCGCCACCGAGACGCAGGACGGCGTGGCACGCGGCTGCCCTCTCCCAGTCATGTAGCCGCTGCCTCTCCGCCACGTTGCGGAGCCGCCGCCGCTGGCCCGTCGCCTACAAGCGCCATCGGGCAGCTACCTCCGGCACGCCGACGAGCCTCCATTCTCCCAGGCAGCAAAGAGATGTTGCGTTGAAAGCATATGTTGTAAGTGTATGTTTTAAGTGTTTCAGATGTATGTTGCAAGTATTTCATACGAATGTTGTAAAAGTAGATCGGGGATGTTGCATATGTTGCAATGGTTGTACACGTATGTTGCGAGTGTATGTTCCCAAAGTTTCATCTGTGTTTTTCAGACGTATGTTGCAAGTGTGTTTATCTAACTGTTGTATATGTTTCATATATATGTTGTAAGTGTTTTATCTGCATGTTGCATATGTTTGCAATGCTTTTTAAGCGTTTTTCAGGTTTTTTTCTGCTCAATGTTTCAGAAGCATGTTTCAAGTGCTTCATTTGTCTTTAGACGTATATTGCAACTGTTGCATCTGGATGTTTCAAAAGTAAATCGGGTGTTTGCATATGTTGCAATGTCACCCGCCTGTTGCAGCGGCTAGACGGGGCGCGAGGGGTTGGGCCGGGCGTAGACGCCACGTGGGGTCGGCCGAGGGCGCAGACACCGTGTGGGGTTGGGTTGGGTGCAGACACCTCATTGGGCTGTGCGTGGAGGCGAAGTGCAGGCGTAGGCGTCCAGATGTGCGCGTCCACGCGCACATCCGGACGCTAGCACTGCTGGTCTAAAAAACTAGGAGTATTTAAAACACTTGAGATGCTGTTTAGTTTTTCATTTAAAAGGGAAAAATATTTTTGAACATTTTTTAGGGAAAAAACTAATGGCGTCTCCAAATCTTAGGATATTCAACCGACCAAACAATTTGCTTCACCGAATGAAATGTCTGAATGAAAGAGATTCGCTAGCAAATAATCAAGTCTATGACCATCAAGTAGAAATCAAGAAGACAGCTTGGTAGCCGTCGTTTTGAAGACACTCAGCAGCGGCTCCGTGGTCTCGACGTAAGCGAAGGCCCGAAGGTGGTAACCGTCCTTGCAGTAGGCCGCCACCGTTCCCTGCTCCCTGATCCGCATGGACCTCACCTCGCCGCTGTCGCGCATCCTGTGCGCGAACACGTGCTTCCGGCTGTACTCGTTCGCACTCACGGTGAGCACGTAGCCGCCGTGCGCGAAGTGCGGGCGGCGAGCCGCTGCCACACCTCCGCTGCCTGCACCAGCACGCTATACTGCCGGCTCCACCCCTGCCGGCCTAGAACCGAGACCTCGGTCTTCGACGGGCCCCGTCTGTCGGCGCGGACGGCGAGCCCCAGCCTCCCGCGGACCTCCGCCAGGCGGAGGACGTAGCCACTGCCAGGCCCGCGGACCACCTGCAGCGGCGCGGCGAGCGCGACCCTCCCGGCGTCCTTTCTGACCCAGTACGTGGCGCCGTCGACGGTGACGAGGCCGGCGTCGACGCTGCACGTCGCGGTCGCCCCGCCGGGGAAAGAGACGGGGACGTCGCGCCACGCCCACGCCCGCGAGGGGTCGTCCTCGTCCCCCACCCGCAGCGTGAACACCTGCAGCGACGTGAAGCCGCCGGTCACGTCGGCGCGGCACGGGAGGTGCAGCACCGTGTACCGCCCCGTCATGGGGTGGAAGCCGAAGCCGTACGTCTCCCCGCTGCCGTAGTCGCTGTAGCGCCCGCTCTGGTGGGAGACGGGCGGCAGCGGCGGGAGGCGTAGCGTCTCGCGGGTGGCCGGGTTGAGCAGCGAGATGGCGCCGCCGGGCCGGGTGTTGTCGCACAGTCACAGCAGCCCGTTGCACAGTCACAGCAGCCCGTTGCACAGTCCTGCAGCGAGATGGCGCTGCCTCCTGTCTCTGGCGCCGGGGTTGTTGGGGTCGGCGCTGACTCCCCACACCTGCCTGCACGCCCCGGTGGCGAGGTCGTCGATGACGTACGCCGAGGCGGACGTGGTGCCGGTGAAGCACGCCAGCACCGCGGGCTTGCTCTGCGGCGGCGGCGTCCGCTCGTCGATGACGGCACGCCAGTGCCGGCACACGAGGCGAACTCAGCGCCGGCTGCTCGGAGGCAGGCGCAGCAGGATCTCCACGAAGGCGTCCGTGGGGAGGCTCCGCCAGGTGGTGGCCGCGGTCGCCATTGGGAATGCAAGTCCCTGCCCGTTTCAGTTTGACTGTTTGAGGAAGACGAGACATATGTAGGCCGAACTGCATCTGCGTGCCGAGGGAAACTTGAGGGCCAAGGACGCACATACGGAGACGGAGACCAATGCTTGCATAACTCGTATGCAGATCAAATACTTGAAGCTAAATTACTCAGAAATACTGCAAGATATATTCTGACTTCATATTTGATTCACAAGGCAATAAAACTTAATTATCTGAGACAAACCTCTTATATACTCAGAAATACTGCAAGAAACCAACGCTTTCACCACCCTACATACTGATTTCAATTGATCCTCGCATTCCCCTTTTGCAGGCATGGTTTATCCTCTGTTCTAAACTCAATTTTTTAGCCGTGCCAAAAGGGCCTGCAGTGGGTTGGCCCTAAAATAAAAAATAGCACGGCCAAGTCCTAGATTCCTCCTGGCTCTAGTTTCAGTTGCTCCGACGCTGCATTACAGTTTGTGTGCAGAGCAGACTCTTCAAAGTGCCCTGCTAATAATTGGCCAACTCGATTTCCTTTGCACAATATAAGAACTTTGAATTGATGCAATCTTGCTAGTGCTTGTCTGAATAGAGAACCTTTGTGGATCCAGTGAATCTTCTGCAGTTGTTGATGATGTATTCGTTACTGGCTTTCTCAGCTTGTTGACCAAAATTATAGAGAATATTACAAAGATTTATGACATCAAATAGATATACTATGAAAATATAATTAATGAAGAATTTAATGAAACTTATTTGGCATCATAAATGTTACTATTTTGTTATATAGATTTAGTTAAACTTGAGATGTTTTGACTCTCTAAGAAAGTTAGAATGACTTATAATTTGGGATGTAGCGAGTACTATACTATATACTGCGCTATTTTAGCAAGGAGTCAGGTCACCCTGTTCGCTTATGCTGAAATTTGGCTAATGCTGAAATGTTGTGGGAGAAAAACACCGTTCCATTGCTGAAAAATAGCTCAAGCGAATAGGGCAAACACAATAAACACAATGAACAAGCACAGACTGTCCAGAAAATCAGTAATCCAACAAAGATAGAGCATGGTTTGTCTAAATTTGAGATTAAAAAAATCAACCATTACACACTGCACCTGTTATTAAGATAAATTATCAGCATGGCAGCGACTGCAGTGCTCCACAACCGTCAGTTTAACTGTGGAGGGAACTTTATCCTCAATGTATGTTCTAATTGCGGCGACCCCTCTACGGGCTTCCATGAGGAAACCTTTGTTCACGGGAGCGCACCTGCCACCGTACATTTCGTTATCACACTTAGGATCACCATAGGTGGTGTCCAGTGTAAGGCGATCAAGTGACTTCGCGTTCCTCAGAATATAACAAGTTAGCTCAACCAAGCTCTTCGCTGCGCTGAAACCTTTGAACTTCACACTCTTGAGGCAGCCATGGAGCTGTTCAGGCATCCGCCTCAACTGTGATGAACCTTCAGAGACCGATTCATGCTTCATATTTTCCTGGGACACCTGAAGATGAAAAAGATAGCATGAAATAGAATTAGAGGATGGTTCCCCTAGAGTGACCAGATATATTGGCAGGATTGAATGGACAGTGCAGTGCCTTACATTCAACAACCAATTCTCCAAGTAAGGAGAAGCATCAAGGAAAGAAACCAAAGAAAAATAATCATAGGATGGGCAAAAGGTCCATCCAGCAACCAGAGAAATTTCCAGGTGCTTGAGAAATAGGAATTTGGTAGACAGCACTGGTGTGATAAAAGATGTCTCAGATTAATTATACACAAGGTATGACTGCTGCAGCATGCATATATCACTAATCAACAACAACTAAAGTTTTAGAAGGATACCTCATAGTGCGAGCTGTTTGAGTATATTAGGCAACTCCGGATATGGTTAGTTTAGGATTGATTGTAATCCTGGGATAACCTTCCTTATCTCTAGGAGAGGCTACTTGCCCTCCAAGCCATGTACTCCTATATAATCAGCCCAAGGGGCTCAAGCAATACATCCACGCATTATACACCAATCTTACATTCCCGAGCCATCTATTCTTACATGGTATCATGAGTCTAGGTTCTAACCCTAGGCTTCCGGCTTCCGCTGCCCTCGCACCGCCCCCGGGGAGATCGATTTCCACCGGGGGCAGCGCCCTCGTAGGATGCGCGACCGATCCTTCTGATCCGCTGCGCCGTCGTGGTCAACCAACAACAGCAGGACCTACCTCTCCCATCGCCGCCAGGATCCGCCGCGAGTGCCGCCGTCTTCGCCGCCCCTGTCGAGCGTCTGGCCTTGCGCCCCCATCTACTCCTCCAGCGCCGCCGCCACCGCTGCCCTTGAGCACAATCCTGCTGCGCTTGAGCGCGAGTGCGCGCCTGCGGAGAATCGTAGGGGCGCTGAGCCGACCGCCGTGCCACTGGGGGCGTCCGACGGCCGCGCAACGCCCCTCCCTCGCCGGTCCAGCCCCTCCATCGCGCTGCTCCTCCGCCACGTTGGCGGGTTGCCGCGTCGTGGGGGCTTCGCCCCATCTCGCTGCCCCCCTGCTGCTCGGTCGCTGGACGGCCGATTCCTCCTGTCCCTGATTTCTATTCCCCTTTGTCCATGTTGACCTGGGAAGAGATAAGGGAGGGGATGGGGCACTGCTAGGGGCATCCGGGATTGTACCCCAAGGTTCGTCTTGCTGCTGCTGCTGTTTTTTTCTTTTTCCCGATCAGAGATCGGGTTGCGTCGCCTTGCCGTTCGTCATCGCCGAAGACGAGGTTGTCGTTGTGCCCTTCATGCTGCTGCGGCAATGCTCATGATCCAGCCATCCTCGCCGGCGACGCCGCCTTTTCAGGCGGTGGCGCCACCCATGCTGCTGGTCCTCGTCATGCTGGCTCTCAATCCGAGTCTGCGCCTATTACCGCACGCTCGCGGACACCGCCGCCGATATTGTTGAAGGAAGATGCAGTTGCGCTCTTTAGCTGCACCATTGAAAGGTCCTTGTTTGGTTTTGGTAATTGAGTGACAACCTAGGTGAACTAATTGTGTTTATGTGAGATACACAGGTAATTAGTCCATAGATACATGTGTGTGAGCAACATATGCCATGAAGGTGAAAATGGCTTAGAGATATTGCAAAGCTCACACATGTGATGATGAAGGAGCTTAACGCACAGTAGACATGACATTGAGTCATGTGATCAAGGTGGAGAAGATCAAGACAAGACTTGGCTTGATGGACCGGTTGCAAGCGTGAAGGGCAAGTCGAAGGCTTTGGAGTGATGGACCGCGTGGCGGTGAAGCTTGAGCAAGACTTGGCACCGATGGACGATGGCAACGGTGAAGGGCAAGTGAAGTCAAGATCGATGAACCAATATGATCACGTGATGATATGAAGTGGATCATATCATTGTTGATCGTGTCGGTGCATGTGTTGCATCGACGTTGGAGGAGATGGAATGGAATGCGCAAGGCAAAGGTATAACCTAGGATATTTCATTTCACTGGTCATAGGTGTGTAGAGAAGTTTATGACCGGGTTTAGGATAGATGGCCGTACTATCAAGAGGAGCAAACTTGTTTGCATATCGGTCATCTAGTGCCACTCGAGTGATCTAACTTTGCATCGTCGCTAGGATCGAGTGGCGTGGCAAGTTGAGTGGCTAACATCCTTTGGGAAATGATTGTGAAAAGCTAACACACACACACATGGTGGTGTACACTTGGTGGTGTTGGCACATTTACAAAGGAGGTGGTGTTTGCAGGGTTGAGATGGGTTTGGGTCCCTCTCTCCCTCCTGCCGAGCTTGCTCGGCGGGATTCGGCGCTTTCGGGAAAATGGAATGCCTATTTTCTATTGCGCCGGATGCAAATTCTTGTGGTTGGCACATTGGAGCAAGGGTGAAGAAGTTAGAAGTGAAAACGAGTTGATCGCGAAGACGCTGGCGTCGGTAAACTGACCGGACGCTGGGTCTGAAAGCACCGGACGCTGGCAGGGTGCGTCCGGTCAGGCTGACGTACGGTGACGCAGAAGCTGGTGTGTGACCGGACGTTGGGCTGTGTCCGATCATGTGCGACCGGACGCGTCCGGTCAAAGAAATATGCCTCGGGGAGCTTACTGGAAACGACCGGACGTTGGGGCTTCAGCGTCCGGTCAGTTTTACCGCTGCGTCCGGTCAGATCAAGTGACCGTTGGGATCGGGACGCGTGGCCGTCTGCGGACGACCGGACGCTGAGGTCCAGCGTCCGGTCAACTCGACCAGAGTGTCCAATCAGCCCGACTTTTGCCCAGTGAAGGGGTAACGGCTAGTTTAGCCCTTGGGGCTATAAATAGAAGTGGCCCTTGGCCATGGCTAGGTAAGAGCACCTAAGGGGACTTAGTGTCCATGCTTGTGAGTGCTTGGGAGCCCTCCATCACACATATACTTGATAGTGATCATTCGATTGTGTGAGTGAGCGATTCTAGTGCGATTGCATCGTGAGGTTGCATCGAGTGGCACTAGGT